CACACACACACACACACTCTCACACACACTCTCTCACACACCAAGCAACAAGCTTCTTCTCATCTCCCAGATTCACAGAACAATCTACAAATGCACTAAAAACAACGAGTACACAAGCATCTGAAAGTGAGCCATTTTCTCACAGAATGCACACGAATGCCGTAATAAAGGTACAACACCAAAGTTGTGAAAGCATTCCGAATCGTCAGTCCTCGTGTATCGGAAGAATACAAGCAAATGTTTTACAAACAAAATAGCCATTCAAACCAGAAGAAACAGAAACAGCATCAAATGCACGCACGTGATTGGCTAACTGTGAGCATGCTCAGTACAAATCAGATCATGAACTTAAAAAAGGGAAAATAACCGCATGCTGTTAATAACCGACACTCAGCCAGACAACAACCAATCCAAAAAACAGCCGAGAAACAGAGAAAAACTCACCGAATCTAAAGTGGACTGCAGTAGAGATGCAACCATGCATTGCTAAGCTCACACACACACACTTCCCATAATGCAACACACACAGCTGAGCATCTTAAGCAGTTCCAGGACATGTTTGGTCAGTAAAGGAGTGAAATGGGAACATCAGAAGGAGAAAGACAGACTCACCTCGATCTTCCGTCCCTCCACGATGGTCCCGTGGAGACGCTCTCGTGCTTTCTCTGCATCTGCACTGGCCTCAAACGTCACAAAACCAAAGCCCTGGACCACGACAGAGAGGAACACACATGAAGCGTCGGACCTCCGGAACACATCCAGCTTAAAGGAACAATTCACCCCAAAACTCTCCCAGAAAGTTTGTCAAGATCCCACAATATATTCTGTGTGGTGGTCAGTTCACACTGATAGAAATTAATCTTTTCCAATAAGTTTTACCTTTTATGGGCATTTTTACATTTACAAAGCCATTTTTTCTGTGCATCATCTTTCGAGTCAAATTCTTACATTCAATCAGTCGATTAGAATAATAAGACATTTGGGCTGTGACCAAACAAATGAAATCATCATCAACGAAATTCATCTTTGCAGCGCAGAGGAAACACGAAGGCTGCATCTGAAATGGCATTTAGATTTATTTACACACAAATGCAATTAACCTGCAGTTACAAATGCATAAATAACGTTTTGATCATTTAAACATAAATCGTTGAATACTAACCTACTAGAGTTCATCACGTAATGTATGCGTGCGCTCTGTAGCTGTGTTTTGTTGACTTGTGTGATATTCTCGATAATGTCAAATCGCACATCGTTAAAACAACAGTTACGACATTATCGCAAACGATACATAGAGCGATCGGTCAGAGCGATCTGCTAAACATCTGCTGTCACACTGAATCACAGTCATTACATGATCAATGTTTTTTGGGGGTGAACTGTTACTTTAGTCTAACAAGAACATTTAATCAAATGCATGATTTTAAAACGGTTTCTTACCTTTGAGCCCCTCTCATTGAAAATGATCTCCACATCCAGAATCTTTCCAAATTGCTAAAAAATAAACACACACACACACACACACACACACACACACACACACAGAGAGAGAGAATGCTCAACATAAACAAACCCATGGCTGTATGTGTAATGCCTTCAAACTGATCATTACAGAAGAGCTGCATTTACAACAGTCGCTTAAAGGTGTTGTTACAATCTCGGTCACCAGGGGGCAGAATTGGCCCTTAAACACGTCACTGTTTGTCACCGTTTCTACAATCATCTGAGGAATAAACCCTGAGGCCTATGAAGCCTATGAAGCCTGTAGTACCCCGAACATCTGCCGCAGGTCTGGGTCTCTGAAGCGGAAGGGGATGTTGGAAACGTGGAGCCGTTTCGGGGTTCCTTTGGCCTCGGAGGACTCGTTGCTGCCCGCAGCGCCGACAGAAACACACTGAACTTCAGCCTGAGTAGATCTGTCTGACAGCTGAGAGACCGAGAGAGAGAGAGAGAGAGAGAGGTAGCTAGAGCTGGGACATATGGCAAAAAAATTTAAATCTCGATTTTTTTCAGAACGTTTGACTGATTCTCAATTTTTTTTACTGTTTTTAACGACTCAACTTGAAAATGTAACTACAACTTGATTCAAGTAGCTTTTTCTTTATTAACCCGCTAGTTAAAGAAAATTCTATTCCAAGTGCAGCACACATGAAGTATATGTTCAACAAATCACTTGTTAAATATCTTCGCAGAAAAGATCCATGAACTACAACTTGTCTTACACATATTATATGTTCAGAAATAATACAAGAAAAATGCTTTAAAAAAAATCAAGGTAATTCAATTTCAGAATGACTGAAGGTATAACACCAGTAGACTATTATTAACTACAGACGTTCTGTAAAAACAATGAACAGCAGCTTTAAGCCCGTCACCGTGATGCACACATGAAATATCAGACAGTTACAGGTTTTTTCTTCGATTGCGCTGCTTTTCCATTGTTTTTCTATGCAGTCATGAATGTTTGACTGTTGCGCTCGTCTCTTATGAAACAGCTTTCTAAAAACACTGCGCTCAAGTTAAAAGAAGTTCACTCGCATCTTCTTGCATGTTTCCTATTCCACTGCTGCGTCTTTATCATCACAAAAGCACATTCTGTGTGAACGGTGTCTAGCGATACGAGTGCGTCACATGCGAGCGGTTAATCGTTCTGTTATCATGGGCACACTGTCATAGTGTCCAATTCTAACGTTTGGTCGATATATCGTGATTCCTCGACTTCTAAAAAATTAAATTGTGGCAAAACATTAAACTCGAATTAATTGATAAAATAAAATAAAAATCGCCCAGCCCTAGAGACAGGTCTTACGCCTCCACAAAAGAGTGAAGACACAAATCACAGTGTCTTGAGATGATTCCCGCGGAGCTGAGCGACCGGAAGTCGTTCGACACGTTTGTTGTTCCAGCTGCTCAAACGGCGTGAGCGCTCAGACGTCACCATCTGCTTGAGGAGCTTTAGCACTTACTTGAGCGCTGGGGTTAGAGGAGGAGGTGCTGCTGGCTCCTGCCGGGGCCTCCGTTTGGCCCCCTGCGGAGTAAATGCTGCCGGCCCCAAACTCCAGCGCCAGGCCGTTCTGAGGAGGAGGAGGCGGAGGAGGAGGGAAGGAGGAGAACGGAGCCATGACGCCCTCCAAAGCTCCCATCGTGTCCTGTGAACCCTGCAGATCAGAGACAGACAGAGAGACCAGGGTTAATCGACCGGTCGGCCCAAGACAAGAAAAACAGCTCACTTAAAAGAGCGACCGCCATGAGAGTGAGAACAGAGGAAAAGTGAAATCAACTGGAATGGAGAGAGAGAGACGGTAATGCATTCCTCTCACATATGACGCCGCTAAAAGCCAGAGATATTACATTTCTCTCTTTCTGGTGACAAGCGGACTTAGGCAGCTGTTCAATATTAATGAGGCCTCGTGCATAATTCAGCGCACGGCCTCCGACACACAAACCAGCACAGCAGACGAGTTTCTGATCGGCTTCAAACACCATCCTGATGATGGTTAAACATCACGTTAATGCAAACAGTGTTGCCGCAGCGACTGATTCATGCGAATCCCACAAAAACACGTGCAGAAATTATATTTCACTTTGGAAAAAAAAAAGAAATTACATTTTTTTGTATTAAGAAAATAGCCTTTTTTTTTTTTTTTTTTTTTTTTTTTTTT